TATTATATAATTAAAAACTAAAATTTACTATAATATTATATATATTTATAAAATTAATTTAAAAAAAAAAATTTTTTTAAAATTTTAATTTTTCATAAAAGTAAATCAGAAGGGAATTTATAGTAAATAAGCAGGTAAATTTGCCTGTGAACCTCTACAGTTTAAGGGATAATTATTATTTCTTGACATTGATTTTAGCAAATTTTCACTTAATAAAGCTTTGCATTTCAATAATAAACTATACTTTTACAATGATTATATTAAAATTGAAATAAAATAATTTTATTATCTTAAAAAATATTTTATTTTTAAGTATACAAAAATATATAATATTAGGTTTATAGATAAATTTATTCAAAATGCTAAAGCAAGAAATCAAATGCATAAAATATAAAATATTTTTTTCTTTTTTTCTTTTAATATTTAAAAGTTAGTGTAAAAAATATTCTAAGTTTTTCACAATATTGAAGACTGGAGTACAAACCAATCAAATTTAGAGAAGGTACGGGATAAGAGTCTGTATCCCCTAGTATAGGATAATTATTTATACCTAGAGTATAGATTAAGGATGACTTTTCAAAACTGCTCATCACAAAATTCAACCAATAAAATCGCGGATAAGTTAAATATCCATTATGCTTTCTTTGGATTAAATTTCTTTTTTAATATTTAATTTCAAAATAAAAAACAAAAGAACACGTAATTGCAAAACTAGTAGTTAAAATTATTTTGTTTTATTGGGTTCTGTCTCCTTTTTTTTGTTTTTGAATTTTTAACCAGAAAATTTTAGAGAAAAGTTCAAATCAAATCAAACTTCAAATCGACCGAAATCTGGACGCCTTGCTTTTGTCGCATCAATAGTTTCTGCCTAACAAATACAAGAAAAGTTTTGAAGATGAAAAGAAGAACTAGATCCCGAAAATTTTAGTCTCTTATTCATCTTGGAATTCTGTAAAGAACGAGAAAACTTTACTGGTGATAGTCACTCAAAACACTTTTATCTCTAAATTTCTGAAACACATTAGCAAGTATCTCAAATGATGCAAGATGGCTATGTACAGCTAAGTCCGTCAAAATAAAGGTAAGTAAAGATTTCTTGTATTTGTAGTGTTGCGGCAGCAAGGAGAAGATAGGGAGGGTCAAACTACGTGTCGATGCAACCACTAAGCGATCCTGAGTACGTCTCAGATCGTTACGAGTACATCTCTAGAGGACTCCTCCTAAACTCTATTCTTCACCTAAGCAGTACGCGTATGTCCTGTACTGTTACAGAATACGTCTCCGGTGGGCTTCTCCAAATCACTTGCGAAGTCTTTATCTAAGACTCCATGAAGAAGTACAGTTTTTCACAAATCCTCTGGCGTTTTGAAGGAAAAAGTGCATTCAGATTAGGTCAAAAAGTTTTGGTCAACTGTAAAGAAAGTGAATACGGAAGCACAAATACAGGAAGCAGCGGTTAGCAATACTTGACATTAATATTTGTATCCATGTTTATGCATTCAAGTCATACATGAATGACTGATTCTGTTGCTTTATGATTTACAGGCTCAGTTCGCTGATGACAACTTCAATGTAAGGAATGAGGCACATTCAATCCAGAATAAAATGTAACTAAAATACGTCGCACATTTCCCTGTAATTGACAAAGAGAGTATTGAGGCCCAGAAACAAAGCAAAGGAAACAAATGAAAACATTCGCATTTTCAGGTTGTATACTATAAACTAAGGACTATATTGGTCAGAAATTGTTCAAAGATGTTGAACTTCTAAATATTTCGCAGGACAACCAAGACGAAGAGGACAATGACAGCATGTTAGATTCCTCTTAATCAAAGTGGATTGCAAAGAGATGAAGAATGTATTCTTAGATGAGGATGAATTAGAGTAGGAGAAGAAGAATGTGGCTAAGCACACTCGCGCACAAGAAAGTATTCCTCCATCGCTTGGTTAGATAATACAGGAGTTTCTGAAGATGCTGTGAATGATGTCTTCCTGGCATCTAAGTATCTAAGAGATGGAGAAGTTGTATTCGATAGTGACATGACTCAATATTATAACGATGATTATAATACCTGCACTTCACCACAGCGGTTCGGTAAAGTTTTACAGAATCCTATTCATATGCAACATGATATTTTATTACTTTTTTCATTATGTTGACACTGCACAATGAATAACTTCACAGAGACAAGTGTGTCTGTTCTCAATCTGATTAGCAATCAAAAACCAAACAATGAGTTGAACAAGAATAAAGGAGATTCTGATAGAAATGTAAATAAGAACTCAGGCGAGTATTTGACGTTTGATTATAACTCTCTAGAATGAGAGATAAGAAAAAAAGGTGAACTTTAGGTAGGATTAAATTGAGTTTTGTTATTTTTTTTTGTTAGATCTCATTATTATTTTTGTAAATAGTGGATCATAGGTGCGATCAATGTTACGTCAAAATTTAAGAAATATCAATTGGACCTTATATACGAATTGAGAAAACAGCTTAGGAAGCTCAGTTGGAATAATACACTGAAATCTTGTTGATATTGTGAACCTTAAACTTACGCTTACGTAATCACATCTTTCATTAATATAAGACTATGCTCATCTTGCCTTCTACATTTAGTTCTCTAGCATTGATAATGATAATTGATTGGTAGTGTCAATATGATTGATTTACCTTTAAAAAATAGATGCTAATTACGAACAGCAATCCATATAAATTGAAGACCCCACTATTTGACGAATGCCTTTCTTCTTCATTGAATAATGCCTTGTATAAAAAAGCATTGGATTTGATGCCAATTTCGAACCTAAGAAAAGTCTTAAATACAGGATTATAACTAAGAAAATATTTGATTATATGTAAATTAACTTTCTCTTAACACAATGTATTTAGTATTATGCAAAATCATAATTGGAATAGGCTCAATGCTTGCTTGATTTTTTAGCTCTGATGACCTTCCATTAATTAACCTAACAAAAATATCAGAAGACGAACACCGCTTCCTCTTCCTTGATCCATTGCTTAAACTGATTTTTAGCAGACTATACGTACCTTACGAAGTTAAACTAAATCAGGTTGTTAATACATCTAAGAAACATCCTGATTTTTTATGCCATGTCGATAATGTGTCTATACTAAATTCAGAGGTAAAGCCTTTGGGTTTACTAGCTTACAAAAAAGCAAAAATTTTATCAAATCATGCTATAAAGCTAAAAAAAAAGCATCAATCTATAGTTGCTATCCATACCTCATACTATGAAATCCCATCCCATTCCAAATTCCATACTATATTTAAAATCCCAAATCTCAATCCCAAATTCCATTTAATTTATAATATATTTTTAAGTATATCTTAATCACATAAAGACGAAGCTAATGAACTAAATATCATTAAATTATAATCATTAATTATGATGATATTATTTGTTAAAGTTTAAGTTTAAGGAATGGGATTTGAATGGGATGGGATTGGGACTTTATCCCATACCCATATAGTATTGGTAACAAGTATACATCAATCAAATGCTGGATCAGAAGGAAGGATCATATCAGTCAATAAATATGGGTATATATGGAATTTATATACATTATGAACTGTATTATTAATGTAGTTATTATGATTGATGATGATTTATCATTATGTATTTTGATTTTAGGAAGTACATTAGAATCATATATAATGGATTTGAAAGTGGATAGCATCTATAGAGCATTTGATTTTATGAAAACAGAATTGATCATTAGTAAAATGACCTTTTCATTACTGAAGTTTATTTTGATGAATTTAATAGTTTTTGAGGTATAAACCATTTTAAAATTCTATTCTTTGGATTTATATTTATTTAATTAATACCTTATTCTGTTTATTATATTTTGCAGAAGAAGGTTACTTTACTGGTTAATAATTTCAAATGTTGGTCAAAATATTTCATACTAGTAAATAACAAAATTTTATGAAAGCATTATCAGATTCTTCATAACTAAAACTATTGATGAATTAATAATTGCTGGTTTAATAGTGTAAACTATAAATATAATGGACCACTTTTATATATGTAGTAGTTTTAGCAAATTTATGCACAGTAATACCATATGAAGTCAATCTTACTATATTACAAATATTGATGAATGATTAATGTTATTAATATCATTAGTATTTTTAACTTAGTTAACATTTTTATTTTATTTATTTTATTCTTATATTTTATTATTATTATTTATTATATTATTATCATAGTTAAATTATAAATTATCTTTTATATTTATCTTAATGTTATAAAATAATTTAGCATTAGATAATAATTTCTTATAATTGTTTTTTGTATAAATAGGATAGAAATTTATCCTTGTAAAAGGATAGAGATAATAGTAATAACTTAATAGTTTGAGTTATAGACTTAGAATCTAAGGTTAAGGATTGCTAAAAATATAAATCTCTACAATAAAGGAATTTCTTTTTAAATTATACATATATTAAAATTCCTTCAACGTGTCAACTATATTTAAAGTTATTATAAAATGTTAAAGTTATTTTATTTGTCTAAAAGTATAAACCTAAAGTTAATTGTAATAAGACTTATTTCACAGTAACTTAGTAGTTTCTTGCATGTTACTCACTGTTATTAAGTCATCGTTGCCTTAAATTTGATGAACTAAGCGTAAGGTTAACAACAGATAATAATAAATTTGCAAATAGTCGAATTACCATTAATAAATATTTGCTAAACTATACTATCCATTTGATTTCACATCATAAAATGTTTATTTTGTCTAGTTTTGTTGCAGTTAGCCCATAGCCCTGGAAAATTTTGATATCAAATCATAAATTTTTATTATGATAACAGCAAAAATTCTAATTTTATTCTGATAAAAATTTTGTATTTAATTATTATTATTTAATTATTAAAATATATTATAGTAAGATATTTAAGTGATTCTAAACTTAAATTTTATCTATCATCTAAATTTTATTATACGTAAAAAAAACTACTTTTCACTGCATAAGAAGATTAGCAACTATATATAATTACATGCTATTTTTTTTTAAAAAAGAAAATTATAATGTAATTTTATCCTAAAATTCATCCAGTTCAGAAAATTCAATAAGATTTAAATTGATATTAATATAAATTGACCATTTCTGAATAAGATATACTGATGGATTAACTAATTCTCTAATAATTTGATAGAAATAGATATCTTTATTAGCAGAGCAGGATGTTGTAATATATGATCTTTAAGTTTTTTGTAAGCTGCATGATATGCTTGTTGAAATACTAGATATTATTAAATAATTTCAATTGTTGATGTTGCATTTTCTTTGTTTTTTTCTTCATTATAAAACTTACAAATACAGAGGGCCGCCAAAAGTCTCCGAACACTTTTTGGCTCATTAAAAAACTTAAAATTTTATAATATGAATAAAAAA